TGTCTATGTCTGTCTCTGTCTATGTCTAGGCCTGTCTATGTCTATGTCTGTCTATGTCTGTCTCTGTCTATGTCTGTCTCTATGTCCATGTCTATGTCTGTCTACGTCTATATCTATGTCTGTCTATGTCTGTCTATGTCTATATCTATGTCTGTCTATGTCTGTCTATGTCTATGTCTGTCTCTGTCTATATCTATGTCAGTCTATGTCTGTCTATGTCTATAACTATGTCTCTCTATGTCTATCTCTGTCTATGTCTATGTCTGTCTATGTCTGTGTATGTCTGTCTGTCTCTATGTCTATGTCAGTCTATGTCCATATATTATATAGATACCTATATATTTTTTTGCCATACCCTATGATCTCTGCCTTTGAGTCTTCCCACAGGGTGCTCCCTCAGTCTGAGGAGTATAGGCATCCAGTCATTGCTTTCCCAAATTCCACCTGTTCCTTGAAGTCTCACTGAAATGCTTACCACCTCCATGGAGGAGCCCTGAGGCCCCAGCGATACTGCACTCTGTATCTGTAGTGTGTACATATTGCTTTATGCCTCAGCATGTAATTACTGATGCCTGTGTCTTATCTCCTCTGCTGTCAGCATCTGGACATCAGGGACAGAGCCTTTCATCTCTCTACACCCTGCCATGGCCCTCAGCTGAAGATGCATGAATGAGTTCTTGTCTGTACCCCTTACATTACATCTGCCATCCAGACATCTGAGGTCCATTAGACGGTACAGGATCCCTCCAGAGTTCAGGACACCCAGGGTCCATCAACGATGCATTCGTGTTCTCATTAAGTTGCGAAAGGCACCATGCATCCTTTACATGTCTGGGAGCAACCAGACAGTAGACAAAGGTCTTAACCAAGCCAAGATGACTGGCATGGGTAATAGAGGGCATTGGTGGCCTCTTTTGAGGGAGGGCCACAGCTTTCTCTCAGTAAAGGTGGAGAGGAGCCGTGGAACACCTGAGTAAGGGTGCCAGGGAGGATTTGTTATACAGTGGGAAGGAGCATCAACTCTTCACTGTGACCATAATGCTTCCAAATGTTTCAGAAGCCTCCCTAACTATCATCACAGGAGATTCTTAAAACATATGAATAAGGCATTTATTACCCCCAGTGGGCATAAAAGGAAGGCAAAGGGAGGAAGACGCTCATGGAAGCTTCAAAACATGAAACAACCCCACCCACTTGCTAATCCCCCAAGATGGCTCTGTCTACTAGCCACGTGTTTTAGTGCTAATGGAATGAAGGAGACAAAACAAATCAAATCCCCAAGTCCCAGAATTGTAGAGTTGGCAGAACGCTTGTAGGTCTTGCAGACCAATGCCACATTTCTAGAAGAGGAAAGCAGAGGAAGGGGACGTCAGTTTCTCTCCAGGGAGGGACAGCGCACAGTGAGTGCCCCAATCAGAGCCAAAACCCACCTGGGTTTCTTGGGCCTCGTCCAGGATTCCTCCTTCTTCAGTGTCTCCTTTTCCTTCTTTGGGGGTGCACTCTGCTCCTTGAGAGAAGCCCGCCCATCCTTCTTCTGCCTTCCTTCATGGGTCCTCTCTGTGGTACTCTGCTCCTGTCCCCGTGGCTCCCCTCCCCGGCTCCTGCACTCTGTCTGCTTCCTCCGGGGAGACCCTGGCCGTGGGCTGCCCCCAGTGCGCTCTTTCTGGCTGGGTGGAGATCCACGTCTGCCAGGGGGACCCTCAGCTCTGGGGGCCCGCTTGCTTGAGGGTCTCCTACCTCTGTCACCTGCAGAGGCAAGAAATAGAACCTTCTGGCTCCACCAGCCTCCAAGCCATGACAAATCAATAGCCCCAGCTATTTCTTGGAGCTCATCAACTCTGTCAGAGCTCAGAACATGATGCCCCAAAATATGGCTCCTTGGCAGACTAAGTATCTTAAATGGAGGGAAACAGAGAAAATAGCAGAAACAGGGATATCACTCACTGACTGTCATCCTCCCTTCTCCCCTGAAGACCTCTGTGTCTGGGCAAACAGGCCTTGCTAAGTTCCTCTAGTTTATTACCATTTGATTAGACATTCTGTCCTCCAGTCATACTTCTGCATGACTGTCCATAGGAATACAGTGTTCCCTGGGTCTTTGGGCCTTCATTTCTGAGGGCTCTTGCGTCATGTAAAGCTTATGTTAAGTAAATGTGCATTCTCTCCTCTTGTTAATCTGTCTTCTGTTATTGGGGTCTCAGCCATGAACCATGAGGTATTTGAAAACACAAACCTTTTTTGCCCTACAGCTCCAAAGTGCACCTCTTTTGGAAACCTCTGGTTTCAGATGAAAATTACTTTCCCCCTTTCCCTAACTTACTGGATCTTTAACACTCTTGCCTAAGCCTCAGGTAGAGATCTAGCCTGTGTCTTTTCTTCCTCCTGGATTTACAGTTCTCTGGGGTCAGAGCTGAGTTGTGCCCTGACCCCCAGTGTCAAGGCCAAGTGTAGGCCTCTGTTTGATAAGACTGGATGCTGAGATAGGAAGAGCACAGGAAGGGCCTGGCTGGCCCCATTCTCCAGAGGCTGACCCCTGGTGTGCCCTTTCAATGAAAGAGGGGACAAAGGGTGAGTCTTGCTAAGTCTGGTTAGGTAGTGCTGCCTAAATGTTTGTTGAGACAGAGTCTCAGACTAGAGTGGAGTAGTGTCATCATAGCGGCCTCCAACTCCAGGTCTCAAGGGATCCTCTGGGCTCAGCCTTCTGAGTAGCTGGGATCATAGGTGTCCACCCCTACACCAACCTAATTTTTGTATTTTTAAAAGAGACTGGGGTCTCACTATGTTGCACAGGTTGGTTTGAACTCTTGAGCTCAAGCAGTCCTCCTGCCCCAGCCTCCCAGACTGCTAGGATTAAAAGGCATGAACCACCACACCCTGGAATTTATTTGTGTTTTTTCAGTGACCTTATAGCATTGACAAATGGTCTGGTGGAACAGAATTCACTCTACAGTATGAACTTTTCCCATGGTTTGCCCAACCAGCTCGTTTAAGTGCAACTATCCATATAGGCGTTTACAAATCAAATATAGGTGAAATGATAATGAGGTTGTGGTATGAATAAGGAATATCTTGGGCTGGTGTGGTATCTCATGCCTGTAATCTCAGTACTCTGGGAGGCTGAGGGCAGGTGGATTGCTTGAGCTCAGGAGTTCAAGACCAGCCTGAACAAGAGCAAGACTTTATCTCTACTTAAGTTAGAAAAACTAGCTAGGGTGTCAGAGCGGGCATCTGTAGTCCCAGCTACTCTGGAGACTGAGGCAGGAGGATGGCTTGAATCCAAGAGTTTGAGGTTGCTCTGAGCTAGGATGCCACAGCACTCTACTTAGAGCGACAGAGACTCTGTCTCAAAAACAAAACAAACAATGAACCTTTCCATCGCTTCCTGGTTTGGTGTCTTTGAGCAAGTCTCCTAACCTGTCTGAGTCTCAGCTCATCTCTAACGTAGATGTTCATACTCTGTTAGACTGATAATGAGCACAGCATGGCAACTGGCATCTGAGAACAGATGTCATTACTCTGCCACTTTCAACCAAAAGTCTGTAAAAAGAACACCAGTTTGAGGCTAGGCTGCTCTGTATGAAAATCTCAGTTCTGTTGCTTATCTCTATGACCACAGATGAATTACTTTTCTATACTCCACTTTCTCACCTGTGAAATGGCTCAATACCCCCGATTTGCCTTGCATGGTTGGGAGAATTTCTTTAAAAAAGGAGCCGGGGATCTGGCACCTCGGAGCTATTCAGTAAAGGTTCTTTTCCCTCCTGAGTCCCCAGCACATCTGCTGCTTCTGGCCTCTGAGGCCCTGTGTCAAGGTGGGCGTTGCCTGGACCCCTGGCTGGCTGCAGAGCCCTGACTCTCACTGCTGCAGTGGCTCTTGGCCTCGGCTTTTCTGCCATGTCCAGGTAGAACTCTCCACCTGCACTGTGAGAGCTCACACTCTGGGCAGAACAGAGGGGAGTACCCCCAAACCCCCCACCAAGCAGTCCTGAAAGCTGCCTGTCTGCTTCCTTGACCTTTGAGCTTTTGCATTCTGAGAAACAGGCCACCCTGTGAAATAGCACCACATCTGGGTGATGGTAAGTGGGGCTGGGTTGGGCAGCCTGAGCTGGAGACTTGAGTCTGGACGTCTGGGTGGGAAGGCGGCCAGGGCTGGTTGTTACCTAGGTAGTCTGAGCAGGTGGCTCATTCTCTGAGTTGGCTTCTTCTTGGGCTCTCGGAGGTGCTACTGGTGGTCTGCCCAGGTTCCCGCTGCCTGGCTCCAGCATCACCCCCTTTAATGTTGTGTGTCTTGGCTCTACCAGCTCACAGCTTCTCCTTCTCCAGGGAGCCCTGGGCTCATGGCAGTCATCTTGTTGGGAAATGCTTCATAGTTTACCTCCCTTTCCTCTCTTTGAGTAGCCCATAGCCAATTACTTAACTGATTTAGGTTACAAAGTCCTGGTGTCCCAAGGCAGGGAAATTTGTGCTTCTTTCACGCTCCACATCTCCCCATGGGGTGAGACGGAGGCTGGAATCCAGCCGAGACCACATCCTCCCTCAGCCCCTGCTCTGTCCTGCTCCCCTCTCTCCTTATCTCTGGAAAGCAATCATCCCCATGCCGAGAGTCCTTATATCGGTCGGCTTCCAGGGAACTAACCTGTCCACAGACCCTTCCTCAAAGTGTGGCTGGGAAATTCAGTTGAAATAATGTCTGTGCAAGTGTGCTGTGAGCTGGAGCACGCTAGATTTAGTGAAGAGAACTTGCTTTGAGGTTCTTTCTTTTTTTCTGAGACAGAGCCCCATGTTCTCACCCTGGGTAGAGTGCTGTGGCATCGTAGCTCCCAGCAACCTTTAAACTCCTGAACTCAAGCGATCCTCTTGCCTCCGCCTCCCAAGTGGCTGGGACTACAGATGCCCGCCACAACACCTGCCTATTTGTACAGACAGGCTCTCTCTCTTGCTCAGGCTGGTCTTTAACTCCTGAGCTCAGGTGATGCTCCCACCTTGGCCTCCTGGAGTGCTGGGATTTACAGGTGTGAGCCACCGCACCCGGCCTGCTGTGAAGTTCTAAGAGAGACTCAAATTTCTCTTCTTGGGTTCCAAGCAAGGTTATTTGTAGTATATTCAAGTGGACAAGGGGCTGACCCACTGAGCTGCCCAAAAACTCCAAGGAGAGGCATTGGTCGTTTTATTCCCTAACTCACATGCCCATTAAAAAGCATTTCGCAAGCATCTGCCAAACACTCTCCGAGGTACAGGGCTATGGTAGTAACCAAGATTGACACTAAGCTTTGAGTTAGCAGAGAGGATAACACACTAATCAATAGTACAGGGGCCAGCTCCACTCAGACCTGACCAGCCGACAAGACATTCTGAAGGAGGGAACTTCTAGTCCGAGGCCCGGAAATGGGGTGGAGGGCCCATAGTAAGTGGCTATGGGGCAGCGAGTGGTGTGAGGAAAGAGGGTTCCCTGGACACAGAACTTTCTATTTTAAAATGAAAACAGTCCTGGGCCAGTGACTGAAGGGTTTTCTAGAGCAGGGGACTTTCAGAATTAAAACTGCTAATGTCCCTGGTAAACCAGGACAAGTTGGTCACCCTAGGTGTAGGTGGGAAGAGCCCTGGAAAAGTTTTAGGCAGAGAAGTGACATGGTGACTTTTGGGCTTTTTATAGACTTTCCATTCAGTCATTCAAACCCTAGTGGAGGAAATCTCTTGATAAAGATATTTGAAGGACCTGTAAACACAAAGGACATTGGGGAAAGAACTGTCCTGCCTTGGCTAAGAAGCCAGAGAGAATTTGTAAAAAAATAAAACTATAATTTTTATTTTCCACTCTGACATGAAAGAGCTTGGAAGTCATCCTTCCCATCCCAACTACAACAACAAGCTGAACGAACAAAAAACAATACTTCTTCTTAGACCTGTCAGAGAGTTGGGTTCTATGGGAAAGTTACTGCTGCCCAAACTGGAGAGGGACAGGGAAGCATATGAGGGTCTCACAGTTGAGTTCACATATTCATCCTAAAATAAGTGCTCCATACCTCAATACGGAATATGACTATGGTCACCTTCAAAGTACTCCCCTTGGGAAGCTATTCACCAATGCCAGTGCCTAGTCCACTCTTCAGAGCAATTTTGGAACCCTTCCTTTTTCTGGACTGACCAATCAGAGTTGTTGTATATGCACAAAAACACGCAATAGCCATAATGAACGCCACTCAGCAAGATACTGCCACATGTTGAACACATCTGTGAGACACGGGTAGGCCAAGATTGGGAAGCCTTACTGAGTTGTTTGTACGGTGATGCCAACATAAACACACACAAAATTAATTGTCAGGCCTTGGAAAACAATTGTCAGACCCTGTAGCTTACCTGGAGCAGACGCCCAGGAGCAAAAGTCCTCCCTGGGAACCAAGACTGGTAATGGTAAGTGGTAGCTGGAGCTTGTTTGACTCAGCTATGGTAAGATGCACAAATGTGGAAATGATTCTCAATAAGAAAAAGGTTTTTATAACCCCAGATTCCTAGAGACAGGAGATGTGGTCCAGCATTGTGGGACACACAGGGAAGCCTTGAGGGCCATGAAAAGGCAGAGGGAGTTGGGGAGAAAACATGGACAAGGGCCTTTACTATGCTTTCCAGAAGGGAAGAATGAGGGAGGCAGGTGCCAGGCGTGCCTAGTCTGAATAATTTCAATGGGCTCTGGGGCCTAGGAACTGTTCCTACTTGTTTGTTGCCTGGCCCTGTGGAGATCAGGGCAG